GGCCATGTACACACATCTACAGTCACACACTCCTGCACACGTACACATGCACCGACAGTGCCACGTACACACGTCTACAGTCACACCCTCCTGCACACGTACACACATTACAGTCACACACTCCACACGTACACGTGCACCAACAGGACCACGTACACACGTCTACAGTCACACACGTACACGTGCACTGACAGTGTCATGTACACATGTCTATAGTCACACACTCCACATGTACACGTGCATCGACAGTGCCATGTACACACATCTATACTTGCTCTCACATATGTACACACATCTACAGTCACACACTCCACACATGTACACATACTCCAACAGTGCCATATATACACAGGCAGACAAGTGTGTGTTCACACACATATACGTGCTCACACAAACTCCTTTATGGCAGACAAGTACAAGTGTGTGTTCACACACATGCACACACACATGTACTCACACTCCACAGACAAACAAGTGTTTTCACATACTACACATTTGTTTACACACACACATGCTGACTCGCACGCATGGTCACCCCGTGAGGGTGGGGTTCCCCCTCTGCCCAAGGCCCCTGTCACTTTGAGGCGTGAGGACCAGCAGAGCGTGGTCAGGCTGGGAAGTAGGTCTCTGCCTTCTGGAAACATCCTGGGACTCTCGCCTTGCCAGCTGGTGGTCTCCACATGAGGGATACTGTGTCCCCCGGGCTGTGGGCAGAGCTGGTCTGCAGGTCAGCGCCACACACCCTCATCTCCCTGGCCCCCCATGACCTCACTGGGGCCCTGGGTGGCTCCTCGCCCACCTTACCCCACCTTGGCATCCTGACACCACCCTTGTGGGTCCTCCTGTTCTTCAGGTCCCCCAAGTCTCCCCCACTGTGAGACGACTCACCCCTCCCACTTACCTGGGGTCCCCACGGGGCTGTCCACAGCCTCCACCTTCCTGTAGAATCCCAGATCAGCTCAGGGACCTCAGCCCTCTCCCAATGACAGACCCTACCACTAGGGTCCTGGGACTCCCTGAGTCAAATGTCCACCTGGGCACACAGTGTGCCGGCGACCATGAGGCTGTCAGAGGAGAGAGAACACGGACCAGACCACACAGGAGGGGTGTCTTCCGGAACCCCGGGTCTCCAGCTGGGGCTGCACCACATCCAACATGCTTTCAGGAGTGGGCAGGGCTGGGGCCGAGACCCTCTGGAGCTAGCCACCCCGGCTTAGCCCAGAAGCAGCACTGGCCCCCCTCCTCTGCTCACCTGGTTTGCAAGACATGGTGGCCTGGCCAGCACTTCCGTGCACTCCAGAGAGTCAACAAGGTGCGTCTGAGGACAGGGCCCCACAGGACCCTAACTGTCCTAACCCGACTGAACGTGGCCTCTGCGAGCAGGGTCTTCTGGGCCTGGCCCCAGCTGTGCCGGGTCTGAGGGGGTTGAGGATACTGGAGGGGACAGGGCGACATCCACCATGGGGGCCTAGAGGGGCCTCTGGGCACCTCAGAACCCTGACGCCAGCCCAGGCCGAGCCCATACACCCCACTGTTTTTCTATAAAAATTGTGAACATTTACAGCCATTTTTCCTTTCAACAACTCTTCTCCCGCCCTCTCCCCAGGCACCTGTCCTCCTCTCCTGCCCCTTCCTGACTCCAAGCTCTGTTCAAGGGACTCATGACACTCGGACACCTGGTGAGGGATGCTGGGCCCCCACATGCATGGCCTCCAGGCGCTGGCACTGGGGACATCCTGGAGCCAGAACCCTCAGCTCGCCTTTGGTGGTGCCCAGAGCCTGGAGCTTCTGGCCGTGACGTGGAAGCTCTCAGGTGCTGGGGGGAGCACAGTTACCCCCCAAGCCCAGTGTCCCCTGGGCTCCTCTGGCCTCAAACAGGGATTGTGAAAACCAAGTGGCTATGGCGATCCTCAATTTCAGTGGGAAAGGGTGACAGAGTTCCCCATCAGGGACATCCAGAACGGAGCTAGGACCCTGGAATCTTCAAGGGGAATTGTCCCAGAGAAGTACATAGCCCCACAAGTCTTTTCCAGAACTTTCCTCCCACAGTGCAGGGTCTATGTTCACTCACCTCAGCTCTCTAGCACCCCAGCTTCCTTGCAACCTTGTGTGGGGCCAGGGGGTGGGGGTGCGTAGCCCCCAGGGGGATGGGCTCCACCACCCCTAGGATCCTGCTTCCAGGGCAGGCTGCTCTGACTCTCAGCACCACCGCCCCTTCCCCTGAGCAGTCTCTCCAGTCCCTGCCAGGCGGGGACAGTGGG